CTCTATAGAAATCACATTTTTATATATTTGTATAAAAAATTATTGTAAGTATGAGATTATCAGGAACCATAGACATTTATTTAACACCAGTTATTTGTATGTCCCTGCACTGAAGGCCACTAAGCAGTTTGTTATCTACTTTGGAAAAAAATAAAGAACAAATAAATTAAATGTCTTACATAAAAGCTGAAGAAAACAGAAAGGATAATAATAATAATAAACTTAACTTTTTTTCATTGTAAGTGTTAATTATTGGGGAGTGGTGTTTGTACTAACAATGAAAAACTTATTATTAAGATTATTTGACTGTCAATTCCTCTTCATAAGTTGGCTAATTATTAAAGAGAATTCGATTACAATATAATAGGTTCATATTAAATTCACTGAAATATTTCAGCATTTCTTTTATTTTCATACTGTGTATCTTAAAACTAAATAAGAGATAGTTCTAAGTTCCATCAATAGCCAGGAGAATGTTGTCTCATTTTACTATGACTTCTAGCATAATTTTTAAATGAATGAGATAAGACATTTTTGTTATGGAGAATATAGAAGTTAATAATTTATAAAAATAAGAAAACAAAATTATTCCCATATCACCACCCAGGGAAAATCATTTTAGATAATTGTAATATATTTTCCCAGAATTGTTTTATGAATATGTGACTTTTTTGTTTTGTTTTGATGCTATTGTTTTACAAAAATGAAATCACTCTATAATCTGTTCTTCCTATTCAACATCGCATCGTGAACATAATCACACATTCTTCTTTAATATTTGAACAGCCTTATAGTATTTTATCATATGATGTGTCAATATTTATTAAGCCAATCCCTCAGTACAGCAATTAGATTACTTCTGGTTACTCATTATTATAAATGAGTTGTATTGAATATTTTTGTGGCTAAATCTTTGCCAAATAATCTTATTAACTTATGTCTAAAATGGCAAAACCATAAGGTCTCAAACTTTAGTATGCACCAGAGAGACCTTATGGTTTTGCCATTTTAGACATAAGTTAATAAGATTATTTGGCAAATAATATTTATTTGAGATTAATATTTAATAAGATTATTTGGCAAATAATATTATTTGAGAGACTTATTCAGACTCTCAAGCTCTAATCACAGAGATTTTGTTTAGGCACATCTGGATTGGAAGTCTGAATTTTAGTGAGCACCTTCTGTGATTCTAATGCAGAGGGTTTGAGCATCACATTTTGGGAAATAATGGCTTGGAGACATAGAAATACTATCTTTTCAGTCATCTCCTTACAAGAATGGCATATTTTAGCAATAATATGCTACATATTGCTCTGGTGGTTAGTTTTATGTTTTTTATTTAACCTGCTGCCTTTAACCTAATAAAGTTCTGAAGTATAATTGGTACACATTTATCTGGAGTGTGAAAAAGCCACTTAATACGGTTTTTGAATGGAAAAGGTCAGGATATAAGCATTTACTGTTTTATTATTTTTATTATAAGGATAAAATTGTTATAAGAAGTTTGGGTTTACACTGACATGAGCATGAATATAAACTTTACTTTTATTAAAGATGGTTCTCTCAGGAGTTACCTCTTCAGGCAGTTTTATCTAAAAGTGAATGTCATAAACATTCAGTTATTCATCCAATTAAAAAAAAAGTTTTGCAATTGCATTGCTAATACCCAGAGTGGAGAGCTAAACACTTGTAAAAAGTGCCACTATAACCTTGCTAGACTCACCCTTTGTTATTTTTTATGTTCATCTTGGAGGAAAGTATCTACATACATAAGTTACTAACTTAATTATGACCTATTAGCAATCCAGGAGCATTGGTTAGTTTTGCAGTTCTGTCCTTGGAAGGACTTCTTAAGTACACAGAGGCTCATTTCCCCAATCTAAAAGCTACAACTGTGACATGTGCACATACTTTCTCTTCATTTTTTTAAATTTGCTATCTCAGGAAGCATTGATTTGCCATTGGTTGTTACAAAATTAAAGTACTTGAGAACTGAAAGTAGTCTTAAGGTTTATTTTGTGTAATTTTATACCTAAAAAGGTCAAGTGATTTCTTAAGATTACCTGAGTAACTAGTGGAAAAGTAGGGCCCAGAATTTCTATCCCCTGATTTAATCAAAGATCACCATTAATATCTAAAGTTTATGTAGGGCTGATATGATCTCTGTTCTATTAATTTTTTTTGAGAAATGTAAAGGTGTTTATTGAGTTATGTTCAATGATTTTGTGTTCTTTTCTACACACCCTGTAAGGGACTATACTTGCTAAGTTAGTACAGCATTGCAGTTATTAGCTTCAGTCTTAAATAAATTTAACTAAATTAAATAGATTTGGATTTGAATCCTGACTTGTAGGTGATCAACCATCCTGGCTTGCTTGGGAATATAAGGTTTCCCCAGATACCAGACTTTCAGTTTTAAAAGTGAAAAGCCCCAGTCAAGCTACAGTGGTTGGTTATCCCACTATTCATGTGGCTGTGTGACTAAGACATGCTATTTTATAGGTCTCTGATTTTTAGTATGTAAACTGAGAAAAGTAGCTCAAAGATTTTAGTAACTGTTAAAAGATGTGGTATATATACAACATAGCATCATTTAATAAAAGACTCAATGAACATTAACCATTATTATTATTAATGTAGTTTTTTTAAAGCAAGTAGATCCTTCAAAATATAGATATTCAGGTCTAGGATTTTAAAGAAATGGACTTTGTTTTTCAGCTTTGACCTCTTCTTTACCTCCTGGGTACCCTCTATTATCTTGTTTGTCCATAAAATTAGACAATAAAATTCAAGGCTAAATAGAGTCCACCATTGCACATCCTTTCACATGTTTCCAGATATAAATAAAGAAGAAACAGATTTTCTATTTTGAAATCAATATGGAGAATAAACATCAAAGGCAGCACAGTGTATGAAAAAATTTTTAAAAAAGAAATTAGCCTGGATTATAATAATTAGCTGTTATTTTGTTGAGTGCAAACTCTGGGCCAGATATTAGTGCTTCAGATACTTCATATCTGATTCAGGCAATGATCCTGAGAGGTAAATATGATTATCTCAGTTTTCAAATGGAGAAACAATCTTAGTGAGCCTATATTACTGGTCCAAATATAGGAGTATAATAAGAGTGTACCAACTAAGCCTGGATGCTCCAAAGGCCATGCAGTTTTGACTTGTAATCAACAGACTAATTTGGGGAAATATACTTTGGCTGCCTGGGCTAGTTTCTTTACCTGCAGAACTCAGAAAGGAAGGCAATTGCTATTTATGATTGCTTGCCACTTATGATCACTTATCACATTGCAGGTAGTGAGCTAGGCACATTGCATGGATGATCTCATTTAATTCTTATATGTAAGTAGTAGTCCCATTTGTATACAGAGAAAGAGAAGCCTTAGAGAGATTAAGCAACAATCTAGGAACACAAGTAGTAAAGTGGCAAAGCAAGGATTCAAAAACCCAGCACTCTTTTGAAGCATGTTGTCTTATAACATTTGGTGATCCTGTAATTCTGAGTGTGTGGATATATAAATGTTGCTAGAGTAGACTTTCCAACCTTGGAAATAATTATTGCTCATGTAATAGTATATTTTTCTCAACTAGAATCAAAATATTATAATTTCTACTTTATTCTAGACTTGGTTTGCCTTTGCATGTGGATAACATGCATCAAATCTGCAAAATTCAGCTGTGATTTAAATATAATTCTACTGAGTACTCAAATTTTCTTCTCATGTCTTTTTTTAATTCTCCTCACAGAGTTTTATTATAAAAATTGGCAAGAGAATATCTGAGTAAGATGTGACATATAAAAACATATGCTTCAAATATGGTCTTAAGTATGAAAAAATAGGACCCGTTTTCTTCTCCTTTTATAGGCATGGATGTGAGTAAACAAAAAACAAATACACACACACACACACACACACACACACACACACACGTCCATGTGCTGCATAAATATGTTTAATCAATATGGACTACATGTAAGATAGTGGTCTCATAAGATTATAATACTGTATTTTTACTGTATTTAACCTATATTTCAATATGTTTAGACATAACAAATACTCACTATTGTGTTACAATTACCTCCGGTATTCAGTAAAGTAACATGCTGTGCAGGTTTGTAGCCTAAGAGCAATAGGCTATACCATATAGCCGAGGTGTGTAGTAGGCTATACCATCTAGATTTGTGTAAGTACACTGCATGATATTCACAGAACAATGAAATTGCCTAATGATGCCTTTCCCAGAATGGATCCTGTCGTTAAGTGACACATGACTGTGTATGCATCCTGACATATGCATAGGTCAAGCTATACATTAAAATGATTTGTTTAATAGAAGGTAGAAAAACATTTGATTTATCCTTGATTTTATAGAATTCATGCACAAAATTCATACATTCTAAGATTACCAAAGATGCTAGTCAACTGTTATCAACAAGTCATACCTGGTGAACAAATTTACTATTTTAAAAATAAATTTAGATTTCTGTTATGAGTTCTAATCTTTTCACCAAATATTGTTCTGGTTTTTGTTGTTGTTGTTGTTGTTGTTGTTTGAGCTGGAGTCTCAGTCTGTCGCCCAGACTGGAGTGCAGTGGCCGCTCCCGGCCACCGCAACCTCGACCTGCTGGGCTCTGGTGATCCTTCCGCCTCAGTCTTCCGAGTAGCCAGAATTACAGGCATGCGCTACCACGCCCGGTTCATTTTTGATTTGTTGTAGAGATAAGGTCTCACCAAGTTGCCCAGGCAGGTCTCGGACCCGCGGGCTCAGGCAATCCACTCACCTCAGCCTCCCAAAGGTGTGGGATTACAGGCTGAGCCACCGAGCCCGGCATATTGTTCTGTTAATGCTGTTGCTTTCTAGTTGGCATTTTTCATATACAAGTTTTACTTAATTTCTTCCCCAGAAAAATATAAAGCCATTATGTAATGATAAATGCTTTGAGTTTGTTGATTATGTGTGTTTTCTTGAATTTTTTGCTTTAGGCCTCCGAAGAAACACTACATTCCAGCAATGAAGAGGAAGACCCTTTGCGAGGAATGGAACCCTATCTTGTACGGAGACTTTCATGCCGCAATATTCAGCTCCCCCCTCTCGCCTTCAGACAGTTGGAACAAGCTGACTTGAAAAGTGAATCAGAGAACATTCAAAGACCGACCAGCCTCCCCCTGAAGATTCTGCCTCTGATTGCGATCACTTCTGCAGATTCCAGTGGGTGAGTGTACCCAGATGTCATTTCTCCATTGTATATTTTAGATGGTGATTGCTCTCTGTGGTCTTTTGAGTTTTGGGGGCTCATTGCTTGATTTGAGTGGGAGGACAATGGAGACATTCTAGAGTCAAAAAAAGAGGAAGATTATTTTTCTCAGGTAACATCTCTGTCTCTGCAGGAGAAGATATTTTAGTCAAATTATTTTACAAGGAGGAATTGAAAATGCATTGGTGAATGCCAATAAGCATTTGGGAAAGGACAGTTGTACTTGGAAAGTTAATATCGACCATATGTGACTTAATGGAAAAATTCTTAACAAATGAGAACAAATGGACAAATTACCATCTAGGGATACATATCTGGAAACAACGGGCAATGTTCATTGATGCAAAATGAATTTGAAATCAAGAATGGATTGTATTGGAATTAGACTCAAAATAAATACACATTTATATTCATGAGCCTAGTTTGTTGGCCTTTGACTCTTTGAGGTGTTGCTTACCAGATATAATCTTAGTTCCCCATATAAAATGATTTTATTTAGCATTAGTAATTATAGAAGAATCAGCCACAGCCACATCTTCATCATATAACATTTGCATTTTCTGTTTTACAAAGTATACTTTTTATGTTTTTATTCTTTTTCCTGCTGTTTACCAATGACATTTTTTACATTTATGTCAGTAGGTAAAAAATTATGAAAGAAAGTAAGGATAGTGGGTACATCCATTATTTGTTATTTTTGCAGCTACATTTTTAAAGAAGCTTAGATAGAAAGGAAATAGGATGAAGCCAGAGGCCCATACACAGGCAGACTCCTGAGCATTTGCTAAGACTACAAGAACAAAACAACAATTATGCTACAAATGTGTTTCTTCTTCATTCTCTGCCAAGTTAAAGGCATCTCTAGGGAAGGTGCCTTTTGGATTTTGCCAAAAGTTCTTAGGAAAGTTGTGCTCAGAGGAAATTTGGCCAGGAACTCAACTCTAAGTTGTTGAATTTAGCTGTTTGAATTGTTGCCAACCAGTCCAAGGAAGCTGTGTTATTAAAGGTATGAGGAAATTACTACTAAGTAAACAAGAAAACAACACATTCTCACCTTGAAGCAATGGGAAGAGAAAATGTGTATGGTTTTCGATGAACCATGTGTATAAATAAGAATCTGCACACAGACTTATACTAAAGAAGGGAATTTCATATGACAGTTTGACCTGAATATTCTTTTTTTAAAAAAATGCTGTCCTTCGGAAGCTATTTCTCCCCTCTTTGGGATCAACATCCCTTCTGTTCAGGATTCACCGATAACAGGTATATCTAGGGTTCCCAAGACTATTTTCTTTAGGCTCAATGATTTGCTAGGAGAGCTCCCAGGATTCAGCAAACAGTCACATTTGTGGCTATGATTTATTACAACAAAAGGATTCAAAGTAAAATGAACAAAGAGGCACATGGGACAAAATCCGGAGGAAACCAGATACAAGTTTCCAAGTGTCCCCAAATGAAGTAAGACAGAATATATTTAATTCCCCCAGCAATGAGTTGTGACAACATATGTAAAATGTGTTCACCAGGGATGCCTTCTACCAGGGAAGCTTAGTAAAGACTCGGTGTCCAGAATTTTTACTGGGAACCGGTCACCTATATACACTGCCCGGTATGTAGCAAAACTCCAGACTTTCAGAAGGAATGTAGGTATTCAGCATAAACCACACGTTTGAACAAACAGTTTAGACACAGTGAGTTACTCTTACTATGTAGGGAATCGTGGGATCCCTCCTGAATCCAAGTTCCCAGATGCCAGCTAAAGCCTAATGACCTTTTAAATAGGCCTTTCTAAATTTAACAGACACAGGCCTAATTAACTCTCTTCTGGACACCAGCTTTATCTTAGAATCATTATCTTGCTTTTTTCACACTTGAGGAAGAGGGGATTAAAATGAAGATGAAAATATACTAATTCAAGTCCTCAATGTATTCAATATAACTTCAGTGTAACTTTGGTATCCCAAAAAGTTTGGTGACTAAACATGATTCTTTATTGCAAGCTAGTATTATATCATGTACCCTTAAAAAAAGAAGTAGTATATTCAATATCTCTATATAATAGAACAATTTGTGAAATTAAAAATCTCAGGTAAAAGCTAAACTTATATAATTAAGCTTCAGTGTGTTGTTAAAAACAGTTTCCAAGTGCCAAGGAACTTTGTTCAGAATTATCTACGTCATAGCAGTTCTGTTGGTTCAAATTTGTTTTTTTCTTAATTGAAAATCTAAGAATCAAGTACAGTTGACCCTTGAACAACATGGGTTTGAACTGCATGGGTTCACTTACATGAGGATTGCTTTCAACTGTACACGGATGGAAAATACCATATTCATGGAATTTGAAAACCAAATATACAGAGGGCCTGACTTTTCATATATGCAAGTTTTTTAGGGCCAACTGCAGGATATGAGTATGTATGAATTTTGGTATATGTGGGGGTCCTGGAGCCAATTCCTGTGTATACCAAGGGATGACTGTTTAAGCAATATTGTGCTTGCTATTTATACATTTATTCAATATTATGAAGGAAAGAATGTATCTTTTTGAAAGATGAAATAAGGATGACTTTTCTGAACCAAAAGGCAGCCAAAAGAAACAATAGACAAGAATGGCCAAACAGCAAGAAACAAAGACTAAGGATACATCAAAGATATTGTTATACTTTAGGAAGCAAAAATTATTCGTGAATTAAATATTGAGGAATAGAAAATTCAGAAGCATCATTTTCTGAAATGTCTAAGCTTTGGAAGAGAAATAGAAGGTAAAGTTAGGGGCTACATTCTGTAGTCATATTTTAGTTAAGCAAGAATCCCTGATTCCTTCACAGCTGCCAGACAGGGCTAATGGGAAAGTTAGCCTATTTTAGCTGGGTATCTCCAGTCCAGTTTCCCATTATTAAAGGTTAGTGTGCCCTCAAATTCCATTGTCAACTTTAGCAACAATATTTATTATAACTACAAATTATTTTTATTATATTATTACAATATATTACAAAATATCATTACAACATTTATTATAACTACAAATCTTTGATGGTAAAGGAGACTTCATGTCTTCTGGATTTATTATTTTTTTCTTTATTAACATCAGAGCTTTTTTGTTCTCTTTTTCCGGAGTATCAGTATACTAGACACTTGCTCTGTCAAGTGTCAGGCAATGTGTCTAGAGACTTCACCATCCCTTTAGAAAGTCATGGTATGACCCCAGGAGTACCTAGTTTCTGAAAAAGAATGTTGGCCTAAAAAAGTAAGTGTTACAGATGGCAGTGATTAGCTCCCTCATCAAGCACCTGGGTCAAGAGACTGAGTTCAAGAGGGTTTTCAGTTATTAATGTTTCCATGATTCTACTCCCATTTTTTTCCTCAAGCAATGTGAGTGTGTTCAAATGTGTGTTCTTTAACAATTCCCTTTGGGTATGCCTAAACTGTCAGGATGTGTATGTTTTGTCATTTAGCAACCTTTTGAACTTTAAGTGAACACAAAACAGTATTGTTAAACCCGGGATGCCAAGAACCTTGAATTCATTCACCAGTTACTTTTTCCATGTAGGGTAGAATCCTTCAGGCTGTTTTTGTTTACTGCCTCTCCTTGAAGTAAAGGAACAACTATTAATAGCTTGAAATGTTGTGAGTTTGGCAAAGAAGTAATTTGTAATGTCATAGTTTTCCATATTTTCTTCCTAAATGTTTTTCTCTCGATTTCCTTTTATAAAACCTTTTATAAAGATATAATTTACATGCAGTAAGATATGCAAATCTTAAGTCCTGATGAATTTTTATATATTTATACATTCGTGTAATTCTCACCCTGCTTTCTGACTTGTCACTAAAGGTTAGTTTTGCCTCATGTTGGACTTCATATAAATGGGATTGCATAGTATGTATACTTTGTGTCTGAATTCTATCATTCAAAATATGTTTTTATATGTATCCATGTTGATTTATATCTTAGTAGTTTGTTCTTTTTATTATAGTGTAGGATGACGTTGTATAGATATATCCAATTTATGTATACAAATGTCTCTTATTAATGGATATTAGGGTTGTTTTTAGTTTAGGGCTATTACGAATAAAGCTGTTGTGCGCATTTTTGTACCAGTCTTTTTGTGGACATATGCACTCATTTCTCTTGAGTATTTTCCTAGAAGTAGCATTTCAAAGTCATAAGTAAGCAAATGCTTATTTTTGTTACTACCCAACAATTTTCCAAAGTGATATACTCTTTTACCCACCCCCCCATCAGCAATGTGTGGAAGTTACAGTTGTTCTGTATCCTCACCAACACTTGATATTTTCAGTCTTTTGCATTTTGGTCGTTCTATAAATATCTAGGGTTATCTTACTGTAGTTTTAATTTATATTTCCCTGATGAGTAGGGATATTGTTTACTTTTAATATGTTAATCAAACATTTGGATATCTTCTTTGTGTTATGCTCATTTAAAAATTTGCTCAGGTTTTTCTTTCTTTCTTTCTTTTTTACTTACTGATTTCTGGGGGTTCTTTAATATATTCTAGACATGAATCTTTTTGTCAGATATATGTATTATAAAGTGAATATTTTCTCCCAGCCATAGCTTGCACTTTTACTTTCTGTTTACTTTTAATATGGTGATAACCCTAAGGGTCTTTGTAATATGAGTGTGTGTGATTGTGTGTATGTGTGTGTGTTTGTGTAAAGAAAGGTGTCACTATGAAAGAGGTGATAAATGAAGATAAGAGAGATAGTATACAACAGAATTAGGTGGGAGAAAAGAAAAGGAGAATAGGCAGATGATGGGGAGAAAATCATGAAAAACAAATGAGTGAAGTATGCTGGGTGAAGAAGCAAATGTAAGTCAGGAGGTGGACCCAGTTTAACAAGTGGAAAGCAGATACTAATAATGACACAGCCCATAGGGCAATTTTACTTGGAAATAAGGACAGTCAGTCCCTTGAGTATTGGATGGTGACAAAGTGGATACCCAGGCAGTAAGAGGGCTAAGACATTAGAATGAAATGACAGCATGTTTACTAATACCTAGGTTGTAAGTGGTCAAGAGTGGGGTCTCAGGACACAGATGGTATGAACTTGAGTCTTGCCTCACCACTTACTAGCTTTGTCACTTTGATAAGTTACCTAGCCACTCAAAGTTTCTAATTTTATAAAAGCGATCATAGGAATAATGGGATACTTACCTCATGGGTTATTGTAAAGATAAAATATTTAGCACTGTTTTTGGAATATTATAAGTACTTAATATACAACAATA